TGCGGCCCTTCGGGGAGAAACTCGTGGTGGTTGTGTTTGGCGAGTTCCTAGCTAAAATGGAACAATTTGAGTGCAGCTAGGCCTCACCATTGACCAGAGTGGGGTTTATTGTTTCATACACAATAAACCGTTCTGGACTCTGGTGCTGTTTAGGGCCCTACTCTATGGGGATTGTCTAACTCCCCAGGGGGCGTAGTACGCTTAAAGTGGCTTGGGTCACCGTAGGGTTAAGCCTTTCAGGCAGGAACCCACGTTAAACCCTTGCCACAATTCTGTCCGTCTAATATATGTTCATGCATTTTTGTGCGTGAGCCGTTGGTTGCAATTTTCGAGATATTTTGATGAAATTTAATACGCTGACGTACTTTTGCACAACGGCGAACGCTATTGAAAATGATTCGAATCAATCAAAAATTGCGACCTATAACTTGAACAAAAATTTACATGGACAGACAATAGACAGACAGATAGGCTTAGATCAGTTCAGATTACGATTCTGAATCAATCGGTCTAATAAAACTCGGCCCATTTTGTCCGCACTATCTGAATATATCCTCCACCGCAAGCGGTGTAGGGCATAATAATACCTCTAATAAATCTTAGCAAATCACATTCATTGTTGTTGCTGTTTTTTTTTTTTGTTTTTTTTTTTTTTTTTGCTTTGTTCTATGTAGATTTATCTTACTAAGTGCACGTTTATTGTCCAAACTATTGATTAGAGCGGCAATGAATAAATAAATAGACGACAAATAATTATTTGTTTTCGATTACAGCAAAATTGTTGTAAGAGAATAACATATTGTTTAGCGATTACCGCAATGATGTTATTTATCTGAAATTTGTTTACAATGTTTAAGAAATCAAATGAATTATCTTAATTTAATCATTCCGATGAAATTTTATAATGCGCTTTATATACAAAGTCGACATTGCCGCTTCAGTGATCTGCGGTATGAAGAGCGAAGAAAAAATCAATTTTAGTTACATTATCGATAAACGGCGATACGTTTGCATACGCATGAACTACTACATGCACGATATCGCGGTTACTAAGCGTAATAGCACAGATAGTGCTAAGATCATCCTGAAATTGTAGTTAAATGACTATGGGATTTTTCTTCTTCATTTTAAAATTAGGCAAAAAATATTTTAAATTGAAAAGAGCCCTTCCTAATAACAAAGAATTTATTTGTAAGTTGGATTAGGGTGTAAATGGGATGAGAATTTTCTACCAAACAATATAAGGCACAAAATATAGACAAATTGACATTTTGTCTAAAAAATATTAAGCCTAATAGTAAATAAAGTGAATTTGTCTCGAAATATTTTCTTTACTGTTATTACCGAATATTTCATCGATTCATAAAAATTGGAAAAAGGAAGACCCATGTTCATCGCTTTTAGGATGTTCTATCCGATCAAAGATAAAGCTATGTCAGGGCGAGGTTTTATTGAACCGCAGCCCGAAGAGCCTAATGGCTTTTACTCCACAAAAGAAAAAGATTATTCACGAGCTTGGTCAATCTCAGCGCAATGCCCTTCCTATGGGTTGTCATGTAGATTCACTTGAATCCATTTAAAAGCAAATCCTGCTCTTTGCCCTTAGGAATTTGGATTTAGTATCCGCTTGTCCTCAAAAAAGATTGATTGCTTTCGTTAGCCTTACTGTCACTTGAGAGGAGGCGGATTTATCCTTGACGTTTCCTTCTTAATGAACTTAATAAATGGTGCCATTGTCTCGCCAACATTACTTGATGCGATAAACTTCAATATCTCGAACCGTTTCTCTAAGGACTTTCTTTTTTATTAAAACTCAGGCAGTGTAGATATAATTACGAGCTTTTCAATCCGTTTACTCTCCTTGGCAAAAGTCTAAATGATCCTCAATATTGAATTGTTTAAATTCTATCAGATTAACCGATGTTGACACGAGCGCTTTGCGTAATCTTGATATCTTCGTATATTGTACGAAAATTAAACTGACTTTGTTACGCTTATGCATACTTGCAACGGCTTAGTGGTTTACTCTCAACTCGGACATGTACTAAGTGCGAGTGCACTTCTGTGCTAGATTTGTATATGCTTTGTTTATTTATATATCAATATTTTTTCCTTTTATTTTGTTCTTTACTTCGCTTAACTATGCTTTAACATAGTTATTAATAATATTTAACATAAGATTTATTGCTAAGCGTCAATTGAATTCGGCTGTTGATTTATTTTCGATGAAAATCATTTATAAATAAATAAATGAACTATGTAATATTAAAATACAACTTTTCTTCTTCTCTACAACACCGAAAACTAAAAAAAAAAAATTAAACTTAAAGAGTACTGTCGTGTATGAATGATAAACAGAAAAATAGATACACGTGCTTGCAACAAATGACAATGACACTGTCAACTAATAAATAAAAAAATAAATTTTTTTTTGTAAACACACAGCAAGAAAACATTGTGGCCGCGCATTGCCATACAAACATACTTTTAAAACCATTAGGGCCAATAGTCTGCCGGGTATTTTCCACTTGTCAGAGCTTCAACGTTAATGTCGATGCCAAAAAAAAAAATAAAAAATAAAAAATAAAAAAAAAATAAAAAAAACCAGAAAACGCTATCGAAAAGATAAACCTACATCTATGATATATGCAGGCTTGCATACCTCTACATGTGTCCACATACATAACAAATAAATTTTAGTGCATTTTGTTATTTCATTTCATATGAAAAATTTCATTTTAAATTTAACTTTAAGTTTAAATAAAAACAAGTAAAGAAACGATATTTGCGTTTTCAAAACGAATCTTGAGTGCCCATCGTTCAGTATGAAAATGCATAGGTCAATACGATTGCATATATTAGGTCTAATAATATCTGGAGCTTTAGTTGGCTCTAATGGCCAATAGGTACAATTATGAATAAAATGAATTTAATGAATATATTAATTTTGATATTATTTTATTATGTTCCTTTGATTATATATATATATACATATATATATATATATATATATATATATGCATATATATGTATAAGTATGTGTACACATAAGCATATGTGTATAATATATAAATTTTTTTCTCTTTTTTTCCTTCTTTCTGCATAACTTACAGTTATATACTTATGGTGCAATAAATTCGTGCGGACAATTGTAACCCCATGAAGAAGGCCTTGAGATAGGCTCACCTTTTATTATACCTAACAAATTAGAATCAGTTTTTGAATCGATCGCAGCTTGTCTGTCAGTACGTCCATCCCATATCTCTTCATGTATTATCGTATTCAACATGCACGTCGCCATTTTCGAGATATTACGATGAAATTTGGTACACTAGCGAGTTTCATATAACGCTTTATTTGGATAAGCCGCCATAAGAAAAAAAATAGTGTAATTTTTAGAATTCCAGAACACACATCACTTAGCAATAAAATCTCGGCCTTCGTAATTAATATGAATTTTTTTGGTTCGGATGGCGCAATATTTTCAATCTCTCGCCTAGTTTCCAAATACTCTTTGATGAAAATTCATTTATGATAATGATTTCACATAATAATTAACCCAATCATATAAGGGTTCTAATGAAATATAAAGTTTTTCTTGACATAGGAAAAAAAAAAGAACGAATTCTTTATATTTGATGGTAAAAATTATCTTTAGTAAATTAAATATAGGGAATTTGGTTCAAATAAACCTATTTTTAGGAGGGCAACAAACATATATATATGCAGGGGCTCGCATCGTAGCCAGCTCAGCCAATTTGTGATGTCCTATGAGAGAATGGCTTATATATGCATAACTGGGAAATAAAAATAAAACCTTTAACAGTTAAAATGAATTTTCTAAATTTAGATCACGTTGACGTCATCGGACATCCATTAATATGAAAGGTTTTATAAAAAATGATGCATATCTAATTTTTGATTCATTATTAATTAAACAAAATGGTGTAGGGTATCTAATGGTCGGCCTTGACCAGCTAAAACATTCTTATTTGTTTTCATAATACGCTTAACATTAAGTAATGACGGTATACTAGTTTGCTCATATCATTTATAACAACAAAAATACATAACACAAATCTTATGAGGCATGAAAGATATCAAGATCATGATAAAGATAAAATTTGGCAGACCTTTTAGACAGTCCAGTTTGTCCTCTACGCCCATTCTCTAGGTTTGCAAAAATTCAAAGAAAACATTTGACATTAATTGACGGACCGATGTCAAGTTTAAAAGTAGATATGATCTACCAGGAGACGTGCTGTGCACACTAAGCCCAATTTCTTTATCGATAAATTATAAATTATGACAGATATCCATTCAAAAATTTGATAGAAATTCATACCATGATCAAGTAAATAACCGTTGAACGATTGTTTTAAACTGACGGCGGACAGTCATTCAATATTCATTCTTATAATAAAAAAAAAAAAAAATGACTTCAATTTGAGACTGCGTACACACCTAGTTGATATCCTGAGATGTTTCATATACAAACCTGTAACCTTGATCATGATTGAGCCGATAAATGGGCCGATCGCGATATGATTAAGTCCAATAAAACTCAGTATTTTAAGATACAAAAAATAGGATAAAGTAAATAAATCCGTAACGTTCTGATAAACGGTATAAATAAATTTCACAATAACTCTCTTGCAAATAGACATTATTACCTCAAAAATATTTACACTAGACCCTAATTTTACGTAGATAATTGTAAATTGTAATAAACCTATATAGTTTGTGTGCTTGATGAGGAAATTCTTTTGCTGGCAAAGAGTAAGATGTATTTACTCATCTCTATTGACGTAAAAGTCCGCGGTGCATTTTCTATATGCCGATGTACTCGATGTATATATATATATATATATATATATATATTTTTGAGGAAAAAAAAAAAATAAAAAAAAAAAAAAAAAAAAAAAAAATACATTTATAATATATTTTAGTTAATTTTACTAATGAAAAATCATCGTCTTCTTTACATGTTATTTATCAAGAGTAAATATTCCCTTGAACAAACTCGTGTTGCATTGACGTGAGTTCTATTTGATATAATAATGTCTAAAAATGGTCACAATAATCCGGCATTTGTGAATGATGTTACGGATAAACCGCTAAAAAAATATTCCCTGGAATTGAGTGAGAAAGGCGAAAAGTATGTGGCAGCTCTTAAAGATGTCGACGCTGATTACAATCCGTACGAGAATCGCCAAGTTGAACATCCCACCACGTAGGTTATGAAATAAAAAAAATTTTGTATATATATATTTTTTTTTTTTGCTTTTATTCTTTTTCATTGTTCGCTATAAGGAAGTGTATGTGTGTGTGTGTGTGTGATTGATAATACGTTTCGTTTTTAATTAATTTATAGCAACTCAGAGACATTATTTCATTTACTGAAGGGTTCGTTGGGCACTGGCATCTTGGCGATGCCAAATGCCTTTAAAAATGCCGGCTATATAACGGGTTCGTTTGGTACCATAATTATAGGTCTAATCTGCACCTATTGCATACATCAGCTTATTAAGGCCGAATATGAATTATGCCGCCGAAAAAAGGTAACATCGTGTTCTTCTCAGTTTCCTTTATATTTAATAATAATAATAATAATAATAATGATTCATTTTATTCCGTTTAGATACCGAGCATGAATTATCCAGCTGTTGCAGAAACTGCCATGTTGGAGGGTCCTACGATATTTCAAAAGTGTTCGCCCATTATTGGCCATTTAGTTAATACATTTCTATTAATTTATCAATTAGGTACTTGTTGCGTTTATGTGGTCTTCGTTTCATCAAATATTAAATCGGTGGCCGATTATTATCTTGAAACACCGGTCGATGTCCGCCTATGCATGTTAATAATTTTGTTACCATTGATTCTAATCAATTGGGTGCGCAATTTAAAATATCTGGCTCCATTCTCAACATTGGCCAATGCTATAACCATGGTCTCATTCGGCATTATCTGTTATTACATCTTCCGCGAACCGGTTACAACTGAAGGAAAAGACGATTTCGCCCCACTCAATGGTTTCCCATTATTTTTTGGTACAGTGCTTTTTGCCTTAGAAGGTAAGTTCTCTTCTATTCTCAGCGTTCTCAGCGCTAAATTTTTCTGTTACTTCTAGATAAGAATTGAAATTAATTACCCGGTTTTTAAAAATTCCGCATAAGCTTTTAACGGAAATTTCTCAAATTTCAATACCCACCTCTTAGGAGATATATTAGGTTAATGAAATATTTCGGACTCATGTCGATTATATCGCGTACTATATGCATATTCTTAACCATTCTTAATGACTTGACTTGATTTTATCCATCCGTCCGTGTGTCTTTCATTTAAAATCTGGATAATGTCTTTACAATGTCGTGTAGAAAATCAAGATTAGTTGTAAACATGTTTCATATCAATCCCGTTAGGATAATATCAACAATTCTACATACATCTACAATATGTTCCAGATTTACGTATAAGTAAGATATGTATGTTATAATAAACCATTTACACTTCACACTGATTACACCGTCGTGTAATACTTTTTAATCGATAAATTGCCAAAGAGCAATTGCGATGAATATAAAACGTACGAATATAAAGCCGGCCGCCGTGGAGTCTTTTATACCCATCATCAATAATATATCGACCTGATATGGTCTCTCGAACTTCTTTCTGGACTTTCTTGCTGTTGGCCAACGCGTCGATAAAAGCAGAAAATTTTCATATGATAGAGTGTTAAGAAGGCCCCAGTTTTGTTCAGATACCCATACCCATAGAATATAAATGCAAATCTTTATCGTTGTATCTGTTGCGACTTACAAGTAACGTGGAAACAAGGACATTTTTTGTTTTACTTTGATTCAATTTCAATGCCAGTCTGTGTGCAAGAACTTCCAATGTTTCGACAAAATTCGAAATCGATGGCTTCATTTTTGCGGCCAACAGAATGCTTACAATAGACATTTCTCAGACGGACAGACGGACATTCTCAAATCGATTTAAAATTTAATGCGGATCAAGAATATATATATGTTTTGTGGACGTTGCCAACGTTTTGGCAAAATGAAATCTTCGGTGATAGGTATAACAACTCAAAAAACATTTGTTAGCTCTTTGCGCATTCCGTAAGGGCTCGCAGAACTGAAAACTGATTTGGATTAGAGATCAGAAAAAAATTCGTTTTTCATAAACGTAGCAGAGTTTAATTTCAGAGAAAAACGGTTCAATAGCAAAAAAGAAGAAATTTGTGTCCCTCTCTCCCCTCTCCACTAATCGATATCAAGTATTATTTTAATCGTGGCATTGTATGCATATCATTACAGCGATTGGTGTTATATTACCATTGGAAAATGAAATGAAAACACCGAAGCATTTTGGAGGCTCATGTGGTGTACTTAACGTAGCCATGACTTTAATTGTGTTCCTTTATGTTGGCATGGGTCTATTCGGTTATTTATATTATGGTCATGAAATCGAAGGTTCTATAACGCTCAATCTGCCAAGCAAGGATGTGTGAGTGATTAAAAAATTTTCAATTAAACAAAAAAAAGAAAATATAAATAAATAAATAAATTAAATTAAATTATTTTAGTTTGGCTCAATGTGTTAAGGGCATGCTAGCGTTCGCCATATTCATAACGCACGGTCTGGCATGCTATGTGGCCATTGATATCACTTGGAATGATTATGTTGCACAAAAATTGGGACCACAGCGTAAAAAACTATTTTGGGAATATGCCGTACGTACCGGATTAGTGCTAGTGACATGTAAGTAAGACGAGAGGCAGTCAAAAACCTTATTCTCCTTATCAATGCGTATACGTTTAGTTCACTCATTCAATTCATGACACACAAGATTAACTAAGCATCTCTTTACTGTTGCGCTCAATAATAGTATTGGATCAATAGTTTCGTTCATTTTAAAATAGCCAGTTCCCCTAATGGCCCACAAAATGTTTGAACAAAATCAGAAGAATACCAAAGAACTTTATTCAATTCTCTTGAAAGGTTTATTATTAAACGAAAGACGTGCACGCGAATGTGTGACGCTGATCATGCCAAACGGAAAGGTAATAAAAATAAGGAGACGCGGAAAGTTAAGAAACTAATATTGATTTTTATGGCCGCACAAAAGGACTCATCCGCGTCTCTATTTCTAAAGCCAAGGTCATGGCCCACCCGATATAATGCGCTTGATACAGTTATTCATATAGAGGGCTTTTAAAAGGAAGGCGTTGTAATCCGATTCGAATCGGTTTCAATAGCATTCATCCGTGAACCGAAACATATATTTCAACAGAATATATGGACATATGGACAGACAGAAAATGATTTTCCATCGATCAGCATAATAACAGACGGACGAATGGACAGACAAGCATAGATATAATGAAAGATGGATCTATCGCAACTCGTTGTGCGTATTGCATGCATCCATGCAACCTTAATGCACTTCTGTAGCGCAAGTGGGTTGAAAGTGAAAGTGAACTAATGCTGTTATTTCACATTTCTACACATCTCCTATTAAGAGGAAACATCAGAGTTTAATTTTTTCGTTTTTTATTGTTTAAATTATATGTTACTTCTTCTTCTTCTTCTTTTTCGAAATAAATCTATGCATTTTTTTTATTACAGTCTTGCTAGCGGTTGCTATACCAAATTTAGAATTATTTATATCGTTATTTGGTGCGTTATGTTTATCAGCCTTGGGTTTAGCTTTCCCAGCTCTAATACAAATCAGTACACATTGGTATACCACTAAGGGTATTGCCAAAGCTTGGTTATTGTCAAGTATGTTATGTCTTCAATTCAATTTAATTAAATTTTTCATTTAAATAAATTTTCAATTTTTTTACATTATCACTAGGTAACTTTGTCCTTATTGTTGTTGGGATACTTGGTTTGGTTATCGGTACATACACTTCGCTGGCCGAAATTATAGCCACTTTCACCGATGATTAGATTATTTGTTCATTTCTAATCAATTTTTGTTTTTTTCTTTTTTTTATTTCTCATTTATTTCAATTTCTTTACATTCCATGAGTAAAAGACACAAGTACACTTACGTCTACACACATTACATAATTAAAAGTAAAAAATATTTACCCATTAATTTGTTGATGATGATTCTGTATAGTTGTTAAACGAAAAATTTAAAAAAAAAAATAAAAAAAAACATTTAAAAAAAAAAAAAATAAATTAAAAAGTAAAAATAAAACAAAAACTTTATGTAAATCATTTAAAAATTCTGTTAAATATTTTTGTAGAAAAATTTTTTAATAAAAATAACCAACAAACACATTGTGATATATTTTAAAATTGTGATAAATATATGAGCATACATACACAAACAAGAATATATAACACACATATTAGTACATATAGATTTTAAATAGATCATAAAAATTCTGTTAAAGTTCTTCTTAAACAAAAAAAAAAAACAAAAAAAAAAAAAAAAAAAATGCTGTTTTAAAAATGTGTGTGTTTGGGCGTCATCTCGTGTTGTTTTTTTTTTTTTGGTTTTCTCATTTTTTTTTAAAATTTAATTTTTTTTTATTTTTTTTTTTTTTTTTTTTTTTTTTTTCAGTTCTATCATTACTTAAAGTACAGTTTATATGGGCATTTTATTAATGCTAAGTGTTTTTGTTAATGTATTGCCATCTGATTATTACTACTACTACTAGTACTACTACTACTACCATTATCATTACTCTTATTATTATTATTATTATTATTATTATTATTATTATTATTATTATTATTACATTATTGTTATTTATGTACTAGCGAGTGTATAAATTTTTAGTTATGTTTATATATGAAAAATTTTTAATTTATTATATAATAAAAAAGTTATAAGAATAAATATTTGTGTAAATAAATATTTAACACAAAATAGCAAAATATTTCACACAAGCAAAGGCCACGTTTCTTCTCTCGTTCGCGCGTCATTGAAATTCTCTTTTGTCTATGATCACTCTGTAAAGTCTTGATCGAATCGACTATAACTTTCTAGATTGAATAGGAGCCCTTTTATTATATTAATATCGCATCGAACTTATATTGATTGTCCTTTGAACTCAATATCGAAAGACGTTGCCGCTAACTTTCGAGATCCTTTGGCAAGTCTCTAAAAGAGGACTCCCCAAGAGAGAATTGACCTCATTTTTTAATACTTGAGGTAATTTCATAAGAGCTATGGACGTTTAACGAATGCTTCACGATACAGGAGCAAGGTGCTCATTTGAATGATCTTTAGTTCCTTCTATGCTTCTATATTCTTTCTATAGAAGATATCATTTTTGTGTTCTATAATAAAAATAAGAATTGTGTTAGACGATGTGGTATAGGGTATTTAATGGTCGACCTTGCCCGACTACATTTTCGTTTTTTTTCTTTTATTTAATTATTCTCCTCATTAAACTTTAATTGCTGTAATTTTTACAATAACACTCATAGCTTGGACGACGTCCAACCTATAGATCGAGATGTTCCAAATATTACTGCAATTGTTACTTTTAATCAAAATTACAAAAAAAATGATGAAACTTTCATCATAAAATACTAAAAATTAAATTTTTTTATCCTCATAGCTCACTTACTTTTCATACGAATAGTTAAGCGGGAGCGAATTCAAAAAATTAATTAATTAATCGATCCAAATGTCTCTTTTCAATTCAGTAAACCGCAATTGTATTACTCAGTGATTTTTTTCGGAAAATTTTAAAAATTTGATATATCATATCATAAGACTTCTTCGAATTAATCGTATTCTTATCTTGGAAAGAATCGAGGTACAAGCTCGCGTCAAAATATATCTCCTAAAATTGCGACCTATGGGTCGAATGCAAAAACACATGAACAGAAACCTGTCAGCGACATAGACAAGTGATTCTAAGTCTATCGGCATATCGGTATATGTCAGTACATAAGTCCGCACAAAGCATACCAAAAAAATACTTTCGCGTCGCGTAACATTTCTTATTGCCAACGAGATAGGTTACTTGAAGCTAAACGTCCTTTGACAACACAGGCTTGAAGACTGTTATCGCTGCATTCACGCCATGTTCATGTGTCAATTAACTACAGATTTTAGCCGAGTGAATAAAAATCTCGATTACAAAAGTCAGTGTTCGCGGGTTTAAATGCGATAAGATTTTGTTCGGTCGTAGTTGTAGTAAGTGCTCAGTCAGTAACAGCATAACACTTATCGTTTGGATACACATCCCCATGTGATTCCTGTCACGTGTATTACACGAACAGATGACATCCTCTGAGTGATTGGTTATTTATAAAAAAAATAAATAAATAAATAAATAAATAAACAAAAAAACCTTAGATTAAAGAAATTTTATAAGTGCACACAGTAAACCTTTTGGATCTAATGCAATTATTTACCAGGGCCGCAAAAAACCGCCTTCCAAAACAGGTCGCGACCATTTTACTTATTAAATATATTTTTAATTCAATGGATAACAAAGATTCCCTCCAAGGGGAACTCAATCTGGCGCAATCTCCAGAAACAGGCAGTTCGTTAGATGGGCATATATAATACCTATTTATACTGCTTAAAGAGGCGTAATGCAAGCATTAGTCACGTCTAATACAACCATTCAAGTACATAAAGATACATAAATAATATGCTCCAGTGTTTCAATAATGAACCTGAAAATCATATTTATTCGAAGTGTTTTAAGTTAATTCTAACTTGTTTAAACTAGTTGTTGGACAAGTCTCCAAACTTTTCCATCTGTAATATCAATGACGTAAAAATAAAAACTTAGTTGACGGATTCCATTTTCATTTTATAAATTTCCATTTTTTGTCCACATTTCTTGTTCAAAATCCTTTACATGCAATAGATAAAATTATTTGTTCAAAATTTTATTTTTTTTTTCAATTTTTCTCAAAGCAATAAAAAAAAAAGAAAACAATACAAAATACATAAATAATAAATTGATTTCGTCATGGCAGAAGGCGGCAATAGTAGTGAAATTGGACAATTAGATAAAGATTTCCAGGAACTTGCGAAAAAATTGGAAACTGATTTTCTGCCCAATCTCAGTTATCGGGAGAAATTGCTAGCAACAGAATGGCTCGTGAAATTGCGTAACACAAAGGGCGATATTGCAGAACTCAAGCTACGAAATCGGTTTACTAAACATTTCCTTGAGACGCCTAAAGTTTTTTCCGGAGCGAAATTCAAAGATTTGCCAGCGAATTTTCAGGATTCTTTAGAGGAATTAAGACAACTGCTGGTAAGATATATATTGCATAATAAAAAAGGCAATACAAACAAATAAAAATTTCTTCTCTTAATTGTTTTTTTAGCCTAAAACTCCAGATGAAGCTTTAAACCCTACAAAGGAAGAGAAACTCTCCTATATATCTCAATTGTTTGCCAATCTACCGGACAGAGGTCAGTTTCTAGCATCGCTACCAGTGCCAAGAGCGGGTTCATTCTATATACTACTTACCTCACCAATACAGGAAACCAACAACGAAGAAAAAAAGGACTAACCAGTCACAAGTCTAATAAAAATAATTTTTATGGAATTTTTCTTAATTGTCAACAAAAGTCGTACATATCAAATTAAAAGTAATTGAACTATTTTAAGCCCCATTAGTTTCTATGTCAGTTTGCTTTCATTATTTCAAAATCAAAAGAAGTACATTTGAGATACTCAATTCGAGCTGCTATACTATGCTACTGCAATAGCATCCTAATAAATGGCAATGCTACATGTAGCAGTATGTCATTATAATTTTGCTACTAGTACGTTTTAGGCACTGTTTGTAAAGTCTGGCAACTTTCTCAGGCAATCTTTTAACAGGAGACAGACGTGTCGTCATTATTTATAAATTGCAGAAGAAAATTTATTCTTTTTTTAAAACTGTTTAGTAAATGAAATTTGAACATGCTAACTTTATGGTCATTGATAGAAGCTTCCTTATTATGCTTGAACGCTGTCTGTGTGCTGCATGAGGAGAGATTCTTGGCTAAAGGTAAGCAGACATGACTAAATCTTATCGTACGTCAGCCTAAGGGATATGTATAAATATTTATACTTTGCAGTTGGATGGGGTTATCAACAAATGCAACAAGATTTTGGACAACCCACAGCTAAAGCGCAAGCACTAAATTTGATCAGATCTATACGAACTGTAGCTAAAAGTAAGAAAAGTATTTAATATTTGCAAAAGCGGTGAACACTTCACATAAACACTTTTTTTGTTTTCTCTTTCTTAAACAGTTCCTTTGATATTTCTTAATATGGTGGCGATAGTATTTAAATTAATATTAGGCTAGCACGTATACCTTGGTAATGATTTTATGAATAAATTGTTTTTACAAAATTATGGCATGCTGGTCTTTCTTTGTAATACAGATTTTACACGATTTTCCAAAGCTATCGAATACGCATCAAGTTTATAAGCAGCCGCTTCCAATTTGTCAACCGTATCGGAAATTTCGTCAATTTGTTGCATTAGTGGCACCTAAAGTAAAAAGGCCGCCAAATGAATTTAACTTAACCTACTATTAATAAGATTTAATCATACCAATGCCTGAAATTTGTTACTTAAATCGATTGTGGAAATGCTTAAATTTTCGGCAATTTGCCTCATATCAGAGTATTTGGCTGCCGTCACTTTATTCATATCTTCCAAAAGTTTATAATCCTCTATGGGTGCATTTAATTCGTTACTGATATATTCCTCGGTTTTACGAAACATCTTCGTAGCCAATTTACTAAGATTTGGATCGTGAGGATCTAACGCTTCAAAGCTAGACGTGCTTGTAGATAACGTCGGTCCGCGAATTGGTGAATCTAACAAAACATTATGTTGTTGCAAGTGCTGCTGTTCCTTTGATTGTTGATTGTTTTTGTTATTATGAGTTTCTGTACTTTCATTAGAAGCCATTTTGTAAATTTTTGTAATATTCTTAGTTAATGACAAATTTATTTTGGTTTCGGATCTCAGTCACAGACCTTGGAGACTGATCAATCTCCTTAATTGATAAAGTTTGTTGGGATTATTACCATCTGGTTTTTCACCTTTTATTTATCGATTACTACTGGTTATGTGTATATAGCAAAAGCTCAATAAGAATAATGGCAGCAGCATTACCATATTAAAAAACAAATTGCACTGAAGACTTGATTTATTTTCTTTTTTTATTTTATATTTATACACTTTTGTTCTCAAAGAAAAAAAAGAATACAGTCCGAGAGTGAAGAGTTTGTATCCAGAGCACTTGTTATGTATCTTTTAGTTAACTAACTCTAATTTGGAAGGGGTATTTTGAGAACAATTTGGTTGAGTGTTAAATACGGTATTCGTCATTCGAATTTTAGTTCAAAAAAAATAATTGTCAAATTTGACATATATTTGCTTACAATGATAAAATGAATAACAAAACCATACAAACACAAATTAAAAACCGAACTCTTAAATAGTCGTTTATAGTTTGGCTTCCTAGTTATAGATGGCGAGTTGATCTCCTGGAGTCTATTTAATTCGACTTGGACTTGGGATCCTGCGATATCTCTGGCACCATAGAACAACGGATTGAAGCTTATTAATTAACCTATCCTTGAGAAAAGACCAGAAATGTTGAGTGCAACCTTCGTAAATAAAAAGAGAAATTTATGCGTCTACATTATTAGAGCAGTACCATTCACGTTCCCACTAGGGTCTCAAGATATTTTGTTGTCTTACAGCTACCGCAATCCCGAACTAATTATTACTTGTTCAATCCATTTCGGGCAATGCATTTCGCGTCCAACTAATCAATATACATAAATAAAAGTTAACTTTTTGTAACAAGAACTTACTCGGCCCGATTTTTCTTAAAATGTATTTAAAAAAGTCTCTTTTTACATGTGTCTACGAAAATATATATTTTAACATTTTATTTATCTTTTCTTTTGCTTTTTTGAGTAAAATGGATTATCCCTTAGGCCTATTGGCGATAAGACCAATATATCTAGTAGAGTGGAATTTTTATTATCTGTTGATTCTTTGCGCTTTATCAATGATGACAAGCTTTGGCGATTTAAGAGCATTAATTACACAATTAGAGTGAAAAGTGAAAGAAAGAATTATCTTCAAAAGTACGTCTATAAAGCCTATAGCGTTCAGTATCATCTTTAATCCTTATTGCCCCCTAACCTACTGCTATTCGTTTTCATTTGCAATCCTCCGAAACACGATTTAAAAGATCTATATGTCATGTATGTATATAGACAATTTAAGCCTGTCCGGCCGTCATTCTGTCGTTTGTAGGCAATTCGGTTAAGAGTTTGCTTACTTATAAGAGATTCGATCATATAAATTTGAATAAATTCCTATCGAAAGAGAAGAAATAATTATGTTATGTGAGTCTAAAAAATATTGATTTTTCAAAATTCCAAAATTGATATCTATATTCAATTCATACACTCATCCTCCGTTGATCTCATGAAAAATATTAACAACATTCTTGATTTCCATATGCGCAAACAAGCTGCAGCAAATTAATTATGCTTAGTAAGACTATGGCCGAGTGAGTATGGCTACTGCGTACCACAGCGGTACATTTTAATTTTTTAGGGCTTTCGTAACTATGAGCGATTGACTTCAAAAGTTTAAAAATATAGCATCGCTACAGATATATCCTCCAATGATGGATATAAAATGTCTCTCTTTATTGTTATTTTTCTTAATTCTCTTACATTAAAAGAAAAAATATGGAGAATCGAAATGATCTTAAATGTGAATGTTTTTCAATTTTCGATTCAAATCATTGAATTTTAAAATCTTACGAACGAAAAAGTCTCCGTAACGATGAGACACTTTGGTATCAGCGATATGAATCATGTCGTCATCTATGTAGAAATCCAACTGTAAACAAATTAAACAATGCTAGTTTACAAAATTACAACTATAATGTAATAGATTTACCTCAGAACCGGATTTAAAAGTTCCTTCCAGGCCACTTGAACCCTTGGTCCAAACTAAATTACGCATTTTGTGCTTGAAACATAGTAAACGTATTAAAAGCTTCGAAATATCGTCTTCATTGGCATTGGGATCGATAAGTGATGCCAGCTTGGACAATGGAAGAGTCGTGTAGAGTTTTAAATATGATCGCGTGGTCGGCAAATCTTTCTGTTGACGTACTTCATCCATAAAGACTTGTAGCTGATGTTCCATGGGATCTTTTACGTAGTCCTCCATGGGTGCATCAGCTGCAGGTGGACAAGGGCTGACAAAGCGTGGGCTAGCAAATAAAAAGAACGATTTGAATATTTCCAAGTCCCCACATTGCATTTTAAACATGGAATCGTGATAATTCTTCTCACGTAAGACCTGTTGTATAGATTCGTCAATGCATTGAGGATGTAATACCAAACAAATGGCCAAAAGATGGTACATTTGTTCAGCCTGTTTGTTAATTTGATCATTTTGATAAGAACGCGTGCTATACAATTGCTTCGTACGTTGTATGTATAGCAAAATTTCAGAGAAAGTCCTTATGGCATCAGAGTAACGACGCATCATCAAATAAGCAAAGCCTACATAGTATGACGTAGAAATCTGGCAAGCTGGTATATGTGAATATTGCGATTTCTTATGAATTTCAATGGGCTCCAAAACTTTAATGGCCTGATAAAAATCACCTAACAAGGAATGCACACGTAACAAACCCACCAAAGAGAAGTAGCCTAGCATTTTATAAAAAGAAAGTTCACCAAATTCCCCGGCCACAGCCTGGGGATCATTGCCTTGAGAAATTGCCTCCAATTGTTTTTTAATATTTGAAATATCCACCAAAGAGTGTAGAACGTTAAGAATGCACAAAATACTCCACGCATTACTATGATTTATACATAGCTGATGAATCTCCTCGGGCGATTTGTCGGTTAGGCGAGCTCTGCAAATTCAATACATAATCAAAACAAAATAATTTCTTTCTTTCAACATTGTCAAAATCAAACCTGTATTGAGCAAAATTTTGAAATTGGTAAACAAACTCATCCACCAACTCCCATAGCCAAACATCAGGCAATTCCAATAAAACGGGGCTTTGGGAAGATATAATCAAATTAAAGAAATCGCAGTAATTGAAAAACGAATTAATACGCTGCTCCAGCTTCGGACCACCGGGTATACGAGCATGAATATGACGGAAATACAACTCCTTGTATAAAATCAAAAATACTTTATCATTATCAACTAAAGCGGCCACTTCATCCTCATCTGGCCAGGCGGACTTATCAAAGTGATGATCGCTTATTTGAGGAAAAGTATTCTCATACATATTTTGTATATCATACATGACACCCTCCTTAATAGCTTGGCAAAAGTTTATTATGAAATATTTCACGTTGTCCGGCATACGACTTGCATAAAACGAACGTTCATACTCCAGGTCCAATTGAGGGTCGCCAGTGTGCACGTACTCATCATAATAATCCTAAAATAAATTTTCATTAATGTGATAGCAGGCAGACACAAGGCGAAGAATTTCTCTAGAAAAGTAAGGTTAGCCTCAGACATATTGCCAACGTTTACAGCTTCAAAAAAAAAGCAGAATCTGTCGACACTCTAAACATATATACGTACAACATTAACATAATCCTCTCCACCGTACATATTTTTCTTAATTATTATCGCTTAAAAAATTTAAAATATTTCACAAAATTTTCTTAACCAATTGTTTAACACGCCTACAAAAAACAATTCACACAGAACAGAGTACAGAATTGCCAAGCGTGAAATATATAAAAAAATGGAAATATCTCAAAAGACATTGCCATTAAAAAAAATTATAAAATCTAAGGAACACTGCCAAAAGACAGAGTAGTAAGACTCTCCGTGATATTCGCAAATAACGTAGTAAATGCATAATGTGCTTACAAATTATCGGAGATCTACAAATACTTACATTACAATTTTAATGCCGCTAAATTATTTTGATATAGTTAAACAAACACGTTTCGGACACCTATTATTTATGGCCATGGACAAGTCTAGAGCTGCCTGGTCTTCTTCGTGTTACTTTAGCAACAGAGTCCCATTGAATCCTATATCACTCTTTAAGAATGCACGCGACATTATCCGTTGGGAATTCAGCTTCGAAATTCACAAAACAAAGCACAATATTTCTTCTCAATTTTGATTTCAATTTCTAATAAGCAAGGATCGAGCTTGATTCAACAGATATAAAGGCTCTTAATCGGTTGATTAGTAGCCACACATATGATTCTTCCCACTTGCTCAAAATGGGTGCTACTCTTGTCGCTAGATGTGATGTATGCACAATGGTGAATACCATATCTTTCGATGTCCTATATTCGAATCTTAACATTGAATATTTTAAGAAACTAAATGGGCCTTTGAAAGAAACTAAAATCTTTCATATAATTTTATTTTTTGAAGTAATGTTTTTCTTTAAAATGCCGCCGAAACATATTAATATTTTCCCTTTATTTCATGAGACACAACACTCTTATTAAAAAAATTAAATTTCAAATATACAATCCCTTTAAGTATTTTTTTTTATACCAATCAATACACATGCAACACTGATTCAATACCTCAGATCAGATAGAAATCTATCGAATACTTAACAGTGAAAGATTTGCAAGTTATGAGGGAGTGTTTCTCGCATCTTTTGTGCATATATATTTAAAAAAAAAGTCGAAAATCGAAAATGAAATTTATTTACTCCATACATTATCAGTAGTCTTTATAACAATAGATAGCACACAATACCATTACAATAAAGAAACTGCTATGGCAATACTATCTCATCAAACATATTTTAAGCATTAATTCAAGAGTTGGAGAGCAACCGAAGCATATATAATATAAATATACATTACATTTGATAACAATTAATATCCATTTACAAGGAAGTAGTGCTAACAAATATATGTAAATGTATATACATACGAACATATATACATATATGTATAATCAGCTGATCTCATAAAAATCAAATAAAGAAATTTGTGCAATTTTTAACAGTTTCTAAGGACGAAAAAAGACACGCTGAGACGTAATTAAAAATGACGGAAACTGAATCTGAACCTGTCTCCTTAGCAGCAGAAAAAGAAAACACGAAAAGTTTGTATATATGAAATGCAAAAAAATTAGTATTATTAATGTTGATTTTATAGTTTGCATTTTATTGAATGCTACGGGGAATGTACCAATTATTAAGAAACGAACTTGGACGGTAGACCCATACAAGACTGTCAGTTGGATACAAAAATTTATACATAAATATTTGAAATTGGATGCCAGTGAGCAAATTGTAAGTCGCTATTCATTTATATTTAATTTATATAGTCTTAGTTATAATTCCTTTTAGTTTTTATATGTTAACCAAACATTTGCACCTCCTCCGGATCAGATAATAAAAAATCTCTATGATTGCCATGGCACCAATGGTAAATTGGTCTTATATTACTGTAAAAATCAAGCGTGGGGATAAAGTGATAACACATTAAAGATTATGCCCTTTTATACTTAAATTCATTTTGTTCAGATTGTAACAGTAATAAAAAGTACAATAGATAAGACACGACAGCAATGCGGTAAAGGAATCAACATGCTTAAGCAGTATCGCCGTCATATAAAACAAGTATCGATTTCTACATATTTTAAGCATTAACAGTAAGAGTTGGAGAGACGCGCAAGCATGAGTAAATCAATGCCCAATATAATTATATGATATAAAAAATACATCATATTCTATATCAACTGGTATACCCTCGCAGAAGTAATTTTCATATATTCTCGAAAAAACCATATAAAGAAATTTTCGCCGTTTTCAATAGTTTTCAAAAATAAAAAAATAAGTTGTGACAGAAACTAAGTCTGAATTTTTGGCAGCAAAGAAAGAGAGTACAAAAGCTTAAATTCTTAAAAGGCGAGAAAATAAAGAAGTTAAAATTGATTTTATATTGTCAAAATCAATAGTGGGGACAAAGTCATAACAAGCTACATTTTATGTGTTGTATCTCATGTCTTCTTTCCAATTTATGTAATCGGGTTAGTTTAAAAGATTTAACTCTTAAATAAATTATCTTTAAGTTATAACACTTCATAAATGCTTTTTGTTTGCAATGCTTTAATGAAATCTTCTTTACAGTTCTTTAAAAGAATTACATAGATGTTGCTGATATATTCAAAAACCTACGTTTCTTAGAGTTTAGATATCGCCACGCAGTTCTTCCAAGTCGTCAGCCGCTTGTTTAGAAATTCTATGATATTTAGCAATGACGGGCCGGTAGTAGTAAGCTTGATAATCATTACGTTCCGACATTTTGGCACGTATTTTATCTTCAAGTAATCTAAAATATGTGTGCGTTCGATTGAAGACATTTCCATAACTCTTTATTGATGATTTACCTGATTTGACTCTTTTCATTTTCTTCAAACAAATGATGTAAATGTTTCTCATATTCCTGCTGTGGGCTGGGATGTAAGTAACGAGATATAAAACGGGATATTGGGTGCTGTAAATGTGTAACAAACAGGTTAAATTTTAAAAGAGCAAGTGATTAATTACTATACATAGATACTCAAAATTACCTTGTGGTATTCCCAATGCTTTGGTTCATAATTGTCGGGAATGGGTTCCAGTTGAGCCGGACCAATGAAGATGTTACAATACAAAACAATACCGATAATGGGTCCCAGACCGATCATCGTATAAAAGTGCAATAAATCTTTAAATTTATCCCATTGAAAACGCGATGGCTTCACAATCATGTGGTCATGACCGCCACTCATTTGACGCAATTGCATTTGTACAGCTAGAATTAACAATTTGTTTTGATTTATATTAAGAGTTGCGTAATGATTGTGCAGAACGGAGAATTTCTATTAAGTAATTTTTACCATTTTTCATGGCAGATGTAGGCAGGGCAGCACGATATTTAGCAAAATTTGCTGCTGGACGTAAAAAATTACTCCAGCTGACCATTTTTAAATAAAAACTTCACCAACAAAATTCCGACCAAATATATGAATCAAGTAATATTTACGTTTACCAGGTCGAATTGCTTAAACTACATAACAGCGAACAGTGTTGCCAAGCAAAATTTTAATAAACAACCGATAACTAAAGCAAGAATTGAGAAATTACACGAGTTGGTTAATATCTAACAAACCATTCTATTGGTTCTATTATATAAGCAAGGAAGTAAATAAAGGAAAAAGAATTCTTGAATATATTAAAATATAGTCGATTTATTTATAAAAACAAAAGAAAACAACATTACATGAATTTTATAAATTTGATCGCAGATTACTAATCAATAAGTAGAGTGTTGTCAAAGTGTTTACTAGTTAGTGTTTTACTATTATTTGGACTATTAATTTTGACAACGGGGTAAGTCCGTTTTTGAAAGTAATATATTTAAAAATATTGTTAATTACTAATCGGAATATTTTTTCTTTTTTTGTATTTTGCTGTATTAGATAATGCAAGTTTATTAACTAAAAATATAAAGGTTTTCTTCCTAAATGGACTTGTCTCACTTGCAAAATTGTTGAATTATTGTAATCAATAATTGAAGAAATAATATTTTAGTTGCGTTATACTTTTTTTAATAATAAAAACAAAATACTATTCAATTTTATATAAATATTTAATCATTTGACGAAAATATTATAGTAATAGTGGGATACATGTAAGAAATTGTTTTTTCGGATTGATGCTCTTATCCCTTTAAAATTGCGGACGTTTGATGAGAATGAATAATAAATTGTGATAAATGATATTTATTTCATTGTCACTGGACTGGAGAAGTTACATTCACCTTAAGGCTCACTAAGGTAAATGTTTCTATTTTGGTCAATGCACCTACATATATGTACCTACCTATCTACATAAATACATATATATATATATATATATACGTATACATGGTTTTGGGTTATCACATTTCATTGGTGCTTCAAACTCCAAGTTGGTATTTTTTCCGATTCTCTGGATTCTATAATTTCATTCCAAACATATAATTTGATCATTATTAGAACTGTGAAGTCCTCGATCCAATTCATACATATTTCGCTTACAATGTGCGATTGATATCGTTAGCTTCGCATAAGATAATACCTTTTCTCAATCAAAGGGAAATACGAAATATTTTACATGAACATTTGGAGGCAAGTGAAAAAGTTGTATTTGCACAACTTTCGAAATAAACGTATCTATAATACCTTTAACTAACTAGTATAGATTCTGCATATTTGTTTTTTTTTTTTGGTCGTATATTGTTTTCTATAATTTTCATAATTGTTTTTTTTTTTTTTTCTTATAAATGGACTTGTCCCACTTTCAAATTAAAGGGCTCATTTGTCAATTTATACTTTGCAGCTAATGTTCAATTAGACTTACTACGAGTGGTGAAGTTTTTGAAACTTTTAACAAAACATTTTTATAAAATTTAAATATGGCCTCGTGTTTGCGTCATTTAAACCCTAAAAAGACTTTATTCTTGCTATGTGATATACAGGAAAAATTCCGATCAGCTATACCTTTATTTGCAAATTTATTGCAAAACGTCAATAAACTGGTAAGATTGCAAATGTTTTCAATTTATTTGTAGAATAATTTATACATTGTTTAAAGACAAAAGCTGGCAAGGAGTTGGATGTGGCACTTATTTGCACCCAGCAGTATCCGGAGAAATTGGGTAGAATATGTGCCGAAATTGATATAAATCACGCCAAAGCTGTATATGATAAAACTCAGTTTAGCATGCTAATACCGGAATTGGAAAATAAATTAAAAGAATTATTTTGTGATAAGCCAGATGATGTGGTCCTTTACGGCATAGAAGTAATTTTTGAACAAATGTTTTAATCGTAACATAATCATTTATAAGTTACTTTCAGACCCATGTTTGTGTCGAACAAACTGCCATAGATCTCTTGGAGCGCAATATTAACGTTTTCTTGGTGGCCGATTGTTTATGCTCTCGTCTAAATCAGGATCGTGATCTAGCGTTGGAACGTTTACGTTCGGCTGGTTGTATAATAACTAGCAGTGAAAGTGTTATATTTGATTTAATGCGTGATAAAAATCATCCCAAGTTTGATGTTATACGTAAATTTGTTAATCATCCATCCGCGGACATGCAATTGAGTAAAGTTGATAAGAAAACGCAATCCAAATTATAATTAATTAATTAATGAATAAACGCAATGCAATGCCTTATCTTGCAAAGCAAGCTTTATATAACTGCATTAATCCACACAATTATAATCCAGTTAATACAATACGAAATTTACCTATCAGGCATTTGAAAATCTTTTAAGAAAACATTAGCATATCCGACATCTCAATTCCAATTGGGGAATACTCGGTAACTTACTAGGAAGACGTGAGCAATTTAAAAAAAAGAAATTTTTCAGAAAAGCGAAAGAAAGAATTTAATATTTTATTACAGAGTTCTTGATCGTAAAAAAATTGCTTATGAAAGGTTAAAGTATTGGCAGCCCTGGTAATTTTAATTATAAAGGGAAAAGAGAAGCACGTGTGCATTAAATAAATATTTGCTTAAATCTTATTTTCGTAAAAAGTAAAATGAGTAAGAATTTGTTTGAGGACTCCGACGATGGCAGCGATAATAAGGATTTCCAACTCGACACTAATAAGGAATATGCTAAAATTTATAATAATTTAAGGAAGAAAGAGTTGGTTAAGAAGTGTGAGTAGAAACATTTCTTACGATTACAGGCATACGAAAATAAAGGTTTAATAAATAGTTAAAGATAATGATTTGAAGGCTAACGACAACGATACTAGCACCGATTCTAGTGATTCTTCGGAAGAGGATGACATTTCAGATCCTGGCTTTGATCGAGAATTTTTTAAGACTTTAGCCTCCTTAAAAAGCAAAGATCCTTCCATATACGACAAAAATACAAAATTTTTTCAAAATTTGAGCGATGGCGATAATAATTCGGATGACAGTAAAGACGATGTCACGAATAAGAAAGGAAAATGTAAAAAACCGAAACCTGTAACTGTAAAAGATTATGAAAGGAACATACTTTTGGAAAAGAGCGGAAAATTTGAAGACGGTTAGTATTTTAACACGTATAAATAATAACATACATAAGCAAGGGAATTTAAATTTTGTAGATCCGGACGAAGAGGACTCCGCAGAGACCCAAAAAGAAAAACGTGCCTATTCTCCGTCTGCGGTTGAGGAAGAGAGGCATTTAAAGGATGAATTTCGTAAAGTAATGGCTGAAGAAGATTCTGATGAAGAGGAATTTGGTGGCATTTTTAAAAAACGTCAGAAAACTAAAGACGAACTGGATAAAGAAGAAGAAGATTATCTGAAATGGTTAGCTGGTAAACAAGATACCATTGGAGAAGACCTCAAGCAAAAACTAGAACCACTTAAAAGCTATTGGAATAGCGATGAGTTGCCTCAAAGTGAGAAATTCCTAAGAGATTACATTCTTAACAAAGGTTATGCAAAAGCTACAAATTACTCGGAGATACCTACTTATGATGAGATCGTGGGCACCAATGTACCATTATCGGATGACGAGAAGGAATTGGAAAAACAGGCCGAATTTGAGCAAAAGTATAATTTTCGTTTTGAAGAACCTGATCATGAATTTATTAAGAGATATCCTCGCACCATAGAATCGACGGTACGTCGTTCCGACGAAAAGCGCAAGCAAAAAAGATTGGAAATTAAGGAGCGTAAACAACAAGAGAAAGTACAAAAAATGAAAGAACTAGAGATGGTTAAGGAGATGAAGCGCCAGGAAATAATGGAAAAAATACGTAAATTGAAACTCGTCACTGGCAATGATGAATTGGGTTTTAAAGAAGATGAATTGGAAGAAGAATTTGATCCGGAAGCACATGACAAGCGTATGGAAGAAATATTTAACGATGATTACTATCAAGTCGATGAGGGTGAAGAAAAACCTCAATGTCCCTCAGATATTGAGGAGCTTCAATTAGAAGATTGGGATAATTATGACCCCACACAGGATAACGGAGCAGACGAATCTGAGTATGAGCCTCATTGCGAAGATGACGACTTTAATATGGATTGCGATTATGATCCAGTTAAGGCTAAGGAGGATTTACAAAAAGAGTTAATTGAAAATACAAAAAAGAGGAAAGGACGCAAAGGACGCCATAATCGCTTTAAGGAAATTATTAAAGCGGAGAAGCCAGTGTTTAATCCAGATGATGAGAAAACCTATGCTGAGTACATAGATGAGTACTATAAACTGGATTGTGAAGACATTATTGGTGACGTGCCATGTCGATTCAAGTATACAGCAACTACACCAAATGATTTTGGTTTGACAATAGAAGAGGTATAGTAATAGATCAGTTGACTTTTTTGCCATAATTAAGTATCGTGTCTTTTGAGTAGATTTTATTGGCAAAGAATAAAGAGCTTAATCAATGGGCCAGTTTGAAGAAGGCCGTACAAATACGTCCCGAACAACTGGAGAAGAAGGAACAGCGTCTTTACAAAATGAAAGCGAAAAACATGGAATTGAAAAGAAAAATTTTCAAAAGTTTATATGGAGAGGGGTAAATATGTTATTATTAAAATAAGACGAAACTTTGTTATTATTAATTATCCGCTCCTTTTAGATCCGACGAAGATGAGAATTTAGATGACAAAAACGAGACACTCGCGGATTCAAAGACTACAAAGCCAATTGCCGAAAATAGTAAACAGGACGAAATTAGTAAAAAATCTAAAAAGAAAAGGAAACGAAAGAATCGGGAATCATCAAGCAAAGCACATGTAAAAGATGATGGGAAAAATAGTTTAGAGCCGCCAACTGTTAAGAAACCAAAATTGGAGGAGAGTGCGATTGAAAATGGATCTGCAATGCAATATAACGATCAGCAAACGCAACAGCAACTTCCTAATAAGAAAAGGAAAAAACACGAAAGTAAAAGTATGCAAAGAGATGATAAAAATGAATTCAATGAAACAAAAGGTTCAAGCAAGTCAAATAATAGCAGAAATCCTTTCGCTCAGAGTAGTTTCATGTCTAACGTAAATGATAAGAAAGTTACCAGGAAAGAACTAGGTCCAACGCCACTCCATCGCCGCCAAGCCAAGAAGAAACATGACTGGGAAAGTTCGTCTGAAAATAAACTCAAATCCAAGTTTGGCAATAAAAACAACACCTTTACGAGTGGTAAAGCCGCTACAGATGAAGACGGGAAACAAATAAGCGATGAACGTTTGAAAGCTTACGGTATAAATCCCAGAAAGTTCCACAAAAAGCAAAAATACAGTAGTAAAAACTAACGGGGATCGATTACGTTTCCAATTGTCATTTATTTTATTCATATAAATTGAATTTGCAATAAAATGATGTAAATAATTGTAAACGATCTCTAAAAGGATTTATTTGCTAAAAAGCGTGCCTTTGAAAATACACGCAGATAAAAAATTTGTTCACATAGGCATGACACTCCACTTTAATGAAGTCTCTGCATTTGTCATTCCGCAAATAGTCTCTCGATTTTCCCGTCTTCTATTTAGTTGATGTGGAACCAATTTTCCCATGGCTTTGAAACCTTTAGGTGGTGGTAGTCTTATATTATTAATATATAAAATTAGCTAAAAAAAAATTGTTCGCTAAATATATGAAACTGAATTAAGCATATAATGTTATCGACTAATATTTAATATTTCATATATAAACACTCTCATATTTATTAAAAGAAGAAGTGATGAAAAAATCGGATTTATTATATTTTCCATAGTTAAGGATCTTAAAGATTGATTATAATGGTGAAAATATTGACGGTTATATGTATAAATTTTTTTTTTGGGAGAGATGTTGAGTTAAGATGGAACAATGTATAAAATTTCTGATAAATAACCAAAGCAGCAACAATTTATAATGTGACAATGTAAACAAATAAACGTTTACGCAAAATGCAACAACAGAATGCACACATTTCTATTTTCACAACAACAAAACACGTAGACGGTACCAGATTTACAACACAACCATACGCAAAATTAAGAGACAAAAAATACTGAGAATATGACTTTGCTGTAGACAATAAATATTACATGCATGACAAATGTAAACAAAACCAAGTGAGAACATTGTAGTTGGACAAGGCCGACCGTTCAATACTCTACGCCACATTGCATGAAATTACTATTAAGGATCAATTTTCATTGCTGATATTAAAACTTATAATTTTCTGCTCTACAAAGGATCAATTCTCGTGAAAATCCTTATAAGGGCAGGATCCAAAAATAGACCGAGATGTTCCAAATTACTATTATGCTATAACTTTCATAGTGAAGCATTGAAAATAATACGTTTTTATCGTATGATTTTCAGTTTTCGTTATGAGAGGGCGTTCAAAAAACGCCCCGCCGGTCCAAAGATTCCAGACCAATTTAGAATGCCGAAATACTACTACTTAGCCACTTTTGCTGAGAAATTTTGAATATTACAATTTTTTTTTCATACAACTTTTCAGAATAGGATGTTATATGGGGAGTGATCGAAAAAGTGAACTGATCCGAACTATTTTCAAAAGTTTTTGTCCTTGGTCCAAAGCACGTCAGTATACCAAATTTCATTGAAATATCTCAAAAATTGCGACACAAATTTAGATGGACATACATCAGATGGACAAACAGGCGTAGATCAATTCATATTACGGTTCTGAATCGATCGGTGTAATAAAAGGTGGGTTTATCTTAAGCCCTTCTGCGGGCTACATACGACTGCAGCAATTAATATATCCTGTACCACAATTACGTTTTAACATATTGAAGTCTCACTGCAAGCGATTTCTAAAATGATTTGCTAAATAAAATTAAATGGAAATTTGTCCTCTATATGCTCTATCAGGATAATTTAGGAGCAGGCCCGTGAAATTTCTGTCCTTCATCCAAATCACTGAGAACTGAAAAAATTAATTAACATTCAACTAAGATCATTGTCGATTAGTACATTAATTCTGATAAAAACTACTACAGAAGTAGGATACTTGAGTTAAGATATCTTAACTCAATTCATAAATTGAAGTTTTGACTCAGTTCAATCGAAAATATTTGACATTAAATACCATGTGTCAAAATTGCCGCTTTTATCTTTATTTAAACCGTTCAATACGCCTGAGTGGCCGAGTAGGCAAGCGCCTCGACTACCAACTTAATGGTCGTGGGTTCAAATCTCAAGTGCGGTAGAGTTTTTAATAAAGCCGAAATCTTTAGATGCTAGTGCTTTAAGAAAGTGCTTTTAGCCTTGGAATTTATTCTCTGGCTAAATAATAATAATAATAAAACCTTCAAAGCACAGTAATTTACTAAAAGTATATTTGAGCAAGCATGCGTTGCGATTCTGCGGCCCCATCCCAGTCTTGACAACTTCCAGTTTTATATTTACGTAATGCGTATCTGCTACTACTTCATACTTTTCTACTTTTCAAGTTGATTTTGCAAAGTAGTATAGTAGTCAGCTGAGGATATTTTTTTCAAAAATAAAAACAAAACATTTGAGTAGTATGAGTATACATATATATATATATATATATATATATTTAGTATAAGCTTTGTGAAAACAGATGATTCCTTTATTTACGTTGAACGGAATTTCTAATGTTTGAAGGAGGAAAAAAGCAAAGCTCAAGGAGTAATAATAAATAAAAGGCGAGAACAAATTAAGCTCGACAGCTCGATAACCTAAAAATTTCATAATGAATACTCTACGTGAAAGTCTATCTAATTTGCCAGGTGCTGTTTCAAATTTTATCAGCGAAAGTGCCTCAGCAGCGTCTAGCTATATCTACTCTGCGGGAAGTGAAACGACTAGTACTGATAATCAAACACGATCTTGTAGTTCCAAATCGGGATCTCTGCAAAGTCTTACGGACATTGAAAATGCTAGCTCATCGGGTGTGTTAATTAGTGAACGTTCCCTGCCAATACCTTCTACACTTGTTAAGGAGCAATGGCGTCTAATTTTCACATCGGAAGCCAGTGTGCAAGATCTGCAAGAGGCCGTAGCACACTGCAAGGATTTAGTGATGCTGTCCAATGAGAATAGTGAAGAGAGGCGATGGCTTGTAAGGCATTTAGTTGATTTGCGTTATTCTTTAAAGGAAATGATTGACGCGCAAAAAGATCAAATCGAGATAACAAACACAATAAAAACCGTAGTTGGCCATCATTTTGTGATTCGTACGCGAGGAGTAACAAGGAGCCTATCGTTGCCGACAAGTCGCAATTATTGTGATCACTGCACCGGAATTATATGGAGTGTAGTGCAAGCCTCATATATGTGTTCCGATTGTCATTATACAGTTCATCAGAAGTGTGTTGACAGCGTTGTAAGAATCTGCGCTCATGTTATTGTCTCCGAACGACAATATCCCATTGCTGACATATGCCCGGAAATCGGTTTGGCAGCCCAACAATACAAATGCGCTGAATGTCATACTCAGCTGAATTTCAGTAAGTGCATCCTCATCTTGAAAATTCATTTTGTGTTTTCTGCTTCTCTTTCTGTCGCTTTATGTGTTGTTTATTTGTTTGTTTGTTTGTTTTTACTTTCTTAATTTTTTTCAATATTTGAAGTCCAACATTCTGTCGTCCAATGTTTTGGTAAAAAAAAGTACAAAAATGGTAGTTTCATATATACTTACTGGTAAATAATATATTTTGTATATAATTATCTTATAATTATTTTAGAACATTTCTGGACTGAGCCACGTCTATGCGATTATTCGGGTTTATACTATTGTCCGTCTTGCCACTGGAATGATCAAAGTGTTATACCGGCACGGGTCGTGCACAATTGGGATTTTAGCATGCGTCGCGTGTCAAGAGCTTCCCTGCAAGAAATCAACCTTTTCCTAAATAAACCGCTTATTAAACTTGAAGAAGCGAATCCGAAATTGTTTGTTTTTCTCGAAAAGTTAGTCACACTTAAGAAACTAAGACAAAATTTGGTGTTTATGCGTAAATATTTATGCGAGTGCCGTCAGGCGTTGGCGGATAAATTATTAGAAATGGAAATTGGTATGCATCCCATATATATATATATATATATATCTATATATATATACTTGGAAATTAAAAAGAAATTAATTAAACATTATAATGATAATTTCAGGTACGCGCCGTTACTTAATACAAGCGAACGAATTTTATTCCATTAATGATTTGCAGCAAACCGAAAGCGGAGCTTTAACGGAGTTTTTATATAAAGTTTTCAATACGTTTGACAACCATATACGCAATTGTCCGATGTGTAAGGCCAAGGCTTATATCTGTGAAATTTGCAGCAACGACGAAGTAATCTTTCCATATGACGATGGCTGCATAATATGTGACAAATGCAACTCGATTTGTCATCGTGTCTGTATGACGCGGAAAAATATGATCTGTCCAAAGTGTGTGCGCTTAGAGGAGAGACGCTTGCAAAGAGTGTCAAAAATGGAAAATCAAAGGCATTACGATTGCATCGATCAGGATAACAGTGACTAAATGTTATTATATTCCTTTTGTCTATTTAATTTTTTTCTTTTTCTTACTTTTTTTAACGATTTATTTTTATACGTTTATTCTTTACACATGTATGTATTTAATATTAATTCTTTGCAAGTAAATAAAAACTGGGAAAATAACTATTTTTGGGCAATTATTTATTCACTCTAACAGATTCTTCTTCTTTGCAGTTTTCATCGTTTTATTTCCCTGCGAAAAATTTCCATCATCGAATTGCGAAAGAATGGTTTATGCCATTGCTAATGCTGAAAAAAAAAAACCGGTTAATTTTTAGATAAATTTCCTTAATGCTCTTATACTCGAAATTTCCATTGAGTACTAAAACGAGAAAATCCTGGAAGAAGATTGAAGATTTTGAATAAATTTAAAATCCCTTTGTTTATTGTGAATTCAATTCAACTCAGAGCTAAACTAAAGACAGTGGTGGTCAAGTGTTATATCAGTTTGTGAACTATTTTTCAATTTAACGTTACAAGGTTTATTTTGAATTGCGTCTACTTGTCTACCCAAATTATGTGGACAGTTCGGAATGCTTATTGACTGGCATTAAATTAGATCTGGAAAATGTCCTCCTTAATCTTGCCAGATTATGTTTATAAAATCGGTCTAATTGTCTCAATTTGTAAATGAACAAAAATCAATATATTCGATCTCTATATAGTTGTTTTCGTAATATCAGAAATGACTGACTAAATATCAAGATGATTTATTTAAATGATTGGTCCACATAGAACTTAAAAATTTTTCAATGCCAAATAAACGACGTGAAAAAAAAAACCAATCATATTTTCCATCTACCTATTGTTTACTTTTGTTCGTTCATATACATTATTTCGCAATATACGTATTTATATTCACTTAAAAGCATAGTCACTTTGAGAGAATTTAACGTCAAATGTTAACGCGAAAAAGCAGAGATGTTCGGACATTTTAAAAGCAAAGTCAGACAAGTTAAAAACGCACACAATGTTACAAGACGGAGACAATGTTAAAAACGGAGACAATGTTAAAAACGGAGGAAATGTTAAAAGCGAAGGCAATGTTAATAACGTAGACAAGGTTAGGAACGGAGGCAATGTTAAAAAAAAGAGGAAATGTTAAAAGTGGAGTAAATGTTTATAACGTAGGCAAGATTAAAAACTCAGGCAATGTTAAAAACGGAGGATATGTTAATAACGTAGGCAAGGTTAAAAACGGAGGCAATGATAAAAACGCAGGCCAAGTTAAAAAGGGAGCAAATGTTAATAACGTAGGCAAGGTTAAAAACGGAGGCAATGATAAACACGAAGGCAACTTGTCTGCAAAATGTTGCAACAAATTGCAGTGGAAACAGCTGTTGTTGTGGTCAACCATCTTAAAGAGTTAGTATTTTTGTAAAACTTTTTGTGTGTGCTTGTAGTGTAGAACTGGTAGCTGAAAACTAGTTTGTTGTTGTAAATTCGAATTTTTATTTACATTTTTGCCATGCACATGCTATTGCTTGCAACAAATTAAATTTTGCGCTTAGTTTTTTGTGTGCTTGTTATTGCAAACACATATCTATTATCTCTTAACTGCGATTGAAAAGATAACGAGAAGAAGAGCACTTTACGCGATCATAATTTAAAGATTTCTTAAGAGAATTTGTTTGCGTGGGGCTAAAGACGGGTCCTCTTCAAGTTTGGGCATTACATGGCGAATGCAATGCAATTTTTTTTTTTTAATTGGAATGCACTTTTGAGATTTTTCGCATCCTAGGCCGTATGTTTGTTTTATTTTTATACCCATCACTATAAGACGGAGGTATGCTTATAGTCTTTCCTCCCAAAATATATGTAACACCCAAAAGAAAGCTCCAGTACATATATTCTTGATCAGCGTGAAATTCTGAATTGATTTAGCCATGTCTATCCGCCAAGCATATCTGTGTGATGTGTGTTGTTGGAACTGTCTTGCTCGCAAAAATGAAGATATCGGGTTCAAATTTGCTAGAAAGATTGCTCGCAAGTTGGTCTTGAAAATGGTTCAAATTGGTTAGAGGAGAAGCGCACAGTGGAGCATAAACTGGGTTTCGGTCGAAAATATTCCACATTTACTTTACGAAGCACTCCACACTTTACGTGCAAAAATCGAAAACATCCGCCATGCCCACACAAAGTTACAAGTGATTAAGTTTTGTTCCTTTCACTTTTTTGAGGTTTCATTTTTATTTATCATATGGCAATCAAGACCGAATGTTTAAAACTATTTTGTACACTCACTCCTTAAGTGAAGATATATTATGTGCCTAAAAATGGGTTAATTTTGAAATGAATATCGTAGAGACTGCGAAAAAAAATAGAATGCATATGCACAACTAGCACAGGGGCACACCCGAACAACCAATACAGAACCAAATTGCAAGTGAATCCCTAAGCCATCGTAAACATGCAAAACATGCTTGGCAACCGATAGAGTAGTGATGACCAATTAATTTTCCCATCATAACGAGATATTAAGGTTAAAAGTTAATTTAAATACGACTTAGGCAAATCGCGCGTATTAAGCAAAGTTGTTTCGATAGACTTTAAAAAATCCGATATCAAGATTTAGTGATAGACATTATTTAGGTTTCTGCAAACAACTCTAAACGGGTTAAAGCGGTCATAATTATATTCAGATTGACTCGGCTTAATGAATATGAAGTACGTGGAGAAGCGGTTAAACCTTAACTCACCTAGCAATGTGGACGAATCGATAGTACCATTACTTAACTTGATTAAGTAGGACATACCAAGAATGACCCTACGTGTCTCAAGTGACGGTAAGCGTAATAGAAGCAACCTATCTTCATAAGGAGGCAAAGAGACAAGCGGGTTGCAAATCAAGGGCAATCTAAGAGCAAACATCAAGAACTGCTTCAATTGAATCTATATAATACCTATAGATGGGAGTCCACACAACCGAGGCGTATTCAAGTATTGATTTAACTAAGCACATGTATAGCTTTTTCGTAATGCAAGGATCCTTCAGCTCTTTGGACCACCTCTTAATCTTAACCAAGCGTGGACATAGCTTTACGTAGAAAGAGCTCAATATGCAGAATAAAATCTTATCTTTGGTCAAATAGAACCCCTTTAATCGATGAACAAGTCAACGCTTTCCAGCCTATGAGTGAGTCAATGAAATACTCAGTACTGAATGACTTCATTCTTAAGAAAGAAAGCTTCTTGCATTTTTTTAGATTTAATTTCATAAAATTTAAGTAGCATTATGTAACCAAATTATTTAAGTCAGTTTGAAGCCGACACGATTGCGTTTGCAATTTAATTGCAGGTATTGGTCTAACTGAGCAGAGATATGTTTTTAAAGCTTAGTGCATTTTCTTCTTTTTTTTTTTTTATTTTTTTTTTTGAAAACAGATTCTTACCAGATTACGGCTAGATTGTGACTTCACCGGCAAGTGTAGGCCGTAGTATAGAAATGTGTTGCAATGTGGAATAAAATTTGTTTGTAAGTGACAAGCGATCGCTGATGGATAACGTGCTTGCGTATCCTCGCATTAAT